GACGTACGTGTGCTATTCGGCGTCCCTAATAAGCATTAGCTTGATGAAGGTTGCTACAATTTATTTCGAGATAAACAAACTACCTTGCGCTCATTGACAGATCGGTCGGCGTGCATTACGAGGCACTCTATCTATTGCATGCTCGTTTATCTGCGCGAACTGTTCCGGCGATTATGTCGCGAGATATAATTTTAAAGTTGACGTAATCATTACCGTGAGCGCTTGAACTGTTATCGCTGCGTGCGTTTTGCCTGTTTATGCAGGTAGACAGGTATGTTGTTCTGCACATCCTTGACGCAAATGTAACACATCGAATTATTTTATACTATCGATTATTGCATATTTATTAATAAACCATAGCTATTAGTCATTGGAAATTAGTGAGTATACACAATCGTACTATAAAAATTTTCTATAATCTTTTTCACTACAAATAAATTATCTTTCATAAATAGCCTTCTTTATATAGTAAATATTATATGTGTATGTAAGATATATCAAGTAGATTATGTAAATTATACATATATAAATATAAATATATGACTATATATATGTAAATAAATATTTACGCTTTCAAAACATACACCTTGTATTTTGTGTTTTTTAATCTGCAATTTAAATGAGAAAAAGTTGAAGATATTCAATATTAGTCTTTTCAATGCAATACTTTCTCTTAAAGCACGCATAAATAATAGACTTTGTAATTTTGTGCTAAATGACATGCGTTATTATAGCCAGATATTGACATTATTAACTGGAGCATTGCTTAAGTAGCCGAGTTCTCGCGAACGTTACGCTAGTTGATGGGGCTCCATCGTAAAATAAACCCTACGTCCCTACGATTGCTGACGGATAAATCTAATTTTCCAAAATAGAATATTTATATGCAATTCTCGAAAATGTTACACATATAAAAATAGAATATATACATCTTTTATAAACTTGATCATTTAATTTATTTATTAGGAGTATGGTAATCTATAATCTATAAAATAAAAAAATAATTTAAAAAATTAAATCATGATAATATTACAAAGAAATAATACTTATTGCTATCTCAATTTGCACGACAAACTTTAATCTGATGATGCTATCAGCACTCCACGCTGCTTTATTCGATTCCTCCGTTATCGATGGGATCGTTAGATGAAATCAATCAGGCATCTGTTTAGCCGTGCTGGAAAGCGCTTTCTTCGCGACAGAAGACAGCGTCCAACCGGTCGCTGAACCGATACCGAAAACTGTCGATAACAAGTTACTGAATTCCGCTACAGGCATCTGTTTAGCTGTGCTGGAAAGCGCTTTCTTCGCAACAGAAGACAGCGTCCAACCGGTCGCTGAATCTTACGTGCGGAAGACTGCCAATAAGACGAAGATGATCCCGCTAATAAGGCCGACGTTGGCATGCCGGCATTTCGCAATTTGCGGCAGGTCGTTGCGATGTTTCGCGGTGAGTTTGGTCGATACTGTGCGCCAGGCGAGGCATAATCTATGCGAGTTTGCTCAACTTTTTCATCCCGTGGCTCGTCGAGGCCGGATAATTGTATAGGATAATTGTAATAGCGTGCTCGAAACGCGTGTGTCGAAGATCAGCCGGCTGCCATCGCATGCATCGTGCTCCCATCGGATAGCGCGTTATCGGAGCTCGCGTGAAATTAACCGATGTTGAATCGTGGTCAGATTCCATCGCACTTTTCGCAACAGGTACTTCATTTCCGTATTTTGACATCTTGCTGGGAGAAGCGAACGATTCAATTGCATCGGGGAAACAATTAAGTTAAATAATAAAATCTTATGTTGATCGAATAAAAACAGTTTTTTATCTCAAAAGAAAGAATATAAAGCGCGTTGGACTCCACAAATATACGACGCATATTTCATGTAATGACTAGCGTTAGGACCCAAAGCGGGACGTGGGTAACGAGTGGAGCCTTGATCTCGCCTAACGTTAAGTATTCACGTAACTGCGCTAAGTATTCGCGCGTTAACTCCACACACTCGCGTCGCCTGGTTACGAGCCATTAATTCCCAAGTGTAACGATTAGTGACGAAGGAACCAAACAAGCAATGCGGAGTACTGATACTATCATTAGATTAGCGCTTGTCACGCAAATTGAGATTGCAATAAAGATTATTCCTTTATAATGTTATTACGATTTAATCCCCTAATCAAATTTTTGCTGCGGAAAATATTACTAATAAAATAATTTAAGTATAGTTATAAGTTTATACAATAAAAAAGACATGTGTATATTCTATTTTTATACGCGTAATATTTTTCGCGAAAATAGAATGTAGATGCTTTATTTCGGAAAATCCGAAATGTGTCAGTTTAATGAAACGCCCTTGGATATCATCTGTGTTGTAATTGGGACAACTGCAAAATCCCCTCTGAATCTGACCATATCCGGAAGTGGTGGACAAATAGCGGATGCCTGGCTGCCCGAAGCATCGTTTCTTTCGAGATTGCCACGGTCATCCAATTAAAAGCCCCGATCGTAACCGTCATCGGAGACGAGTCTTGACAATTGTGGCAGTTACACACCCACGAGACATCGTTAGCTCATTGCCGCTCATTAAATTACTAATTGACCGATAAACTTTTTTCTCATGCAGTTTTTTCTGCTCCGTTTGCCGCGAAGAAGCGAAGATGCCGGAGTTCGGCGATCCGTTACACGAAATTTTGATCTTTATTATAATGTTTACATCGCGATAAGTCGACGAGTTACGATAGATACCGGCGTTCTCAAATAAAGATTCGCGACGTACGGAAAGAACTCACGCGATCGTTACTCATCATCAAGACCTTGAGGACCTATTTAACGTGGGTTGGTTCTGATTTATTTAGTAAATTGCGGAAACGAGCATCGCCAGACCGCTTGATAATTGCGAGGCCTAGTTGCTTCCTCGATGTATATAGAGCGTTTAAGTTTTAAAATATCCCGAATATGATGCACGTGACATTTTTGGAATATAATTTTTTTTCACTTTTAATGATCGTTTTGCTATCATCGAAAAAAAAATATCATATTAGCCGTAAATGTCGGATCGGCATAAATGTCAGATCAGCCGCGACGTTTTAGGTAATAATGAAGAAAAGTTCGTCGGGTACACCGGTGCCAGGTACGGCAATAAATACAAACGAGACTGCTGTCAAACTTTTCTATGTGCGCCAACGATAATAAACGAAACCGAATATGCACTTTCTCTTGCGGTCGCACATGCGACGATTTCCATATCGCGCGATTGATCCCTCCAGCAGAAAGCGTTAATCGTGTATTAACATACAGGGAAGACCACGGTTAAGACTAACAGTAGTGGTTAATGAAAGCTTTCCAATCTCATACAGCTCTAGATTTTCTCATCGTTCCGAGTATAATGCCCCCGCCATTGAAGCCATCGTACAGTCTTTCTCATGAATTTATGCAAATGTCGTAACGATACTTCGTGTTGGTTCCCATACAGCATTCCCATATAGCATCTCTCAATAATTAATGCCGACAAACGCGCAGATATTCCATGTAATATCTTACATTTTTCATGCGATTCGTAAGTACAATAGTATCTTCTTCTTCAAACATATCATAAATTCAATTTTTTGACGTAAGCACAATTGTGGAAAAGTATTTGATGCCGTCGTTTATGTATTTATATAAGTAAGCATATTATGCATAACATATGCGATTCTGTGAAATAAAATGTTAAATGCACAATAAGCTTATATACTCTATTATAAAAATTTATTTTATCTTTTACAATAAAATCAGCGAAATCTCGATATGTATAATATTATTACTATTTTATTACGATTTTCTGTTTACAAATTGATAAATATGAATTTCTTCCTACCGATTTTACATGCTTTTAACGTGTATCGCTTTTAATAAAAATACCTCTCATTCATCGATACATATTATTTTCGTCAGATGTTGCACGTCCGTTTTGTCAACGATGAATGGAAGTGCTTGTTGCCGTTGGTAAGTAGCGGAATTAAATTTCAGTATATATCGTTTGCAATATAATAAAAGTAAAAAGCAACATGATATATATATCTTTCTTCTTCATATAATGATTACAAGTTATTGTATTATCGCGTGTTGTACCGCGATATTTTTTATAAAAAAATAAAAATTATAATATGCAATAATATATAAAATAATTTAAAAATGTAAATAAAGTAAATATTTTGTACATCCGCGAGATTTTTGTTTGATCAAAAATCGGAAAAAACACTGGAATGTATATTATTTCAAACAGAATGTTTTATCCGTGACAAATTACATTTACCGATGTAATCTTATGAACACAGTTTTTTTGTGATTTAATATGCATGATATGCGTATTACGATGCAAAAAATTCAAGCATTTATAGCCTGCGTCAACTCGATATAAATTGACAAAAACAAAGGCAAAACGTTTTCAGCAAATAAACAGAAAATGTTTAATCTGTGTTGGCTAATTTCCAAAAGATTCAATTTAAATATTGTGTTTGTGACGAAAAGTTATTTTTCTTTACAGATGTTTTATACGAATACAAACATTTTATACGATTTTCGTTTTTTATGATAACTCTAGTCTTTGGCAAGACATTTAATAAAACAGCATTTAATTATGTTTCAATTTCAATGTATGTAAAAGAAAAGATGACATCAAATCATTTATTAATCGCCGATTGTCTCTGATAGAGTACTCGCGCGTCTTTCGCAATCGCGCTCGGATGGATCGCTCGACGAATCAGGAGAGTGTTTTGTTTCGTCGACATACAAACTCATTTTAATAATCGCGTGAGAAAATCAATGGCGTGTCGACACAATGAGTAATTTTTTTCACAAGATTAGATCTCATCTCTACGCGGGTCAAAATGGCGGAACGCGCGCGCGCTGCCTCGACCAGCGGCATCCGTGGACCACTGTGACCTCAAAGGTTGTCGGTCGCGAAAATAAACGTCGCCGCGCGAAGATGACGCGGAGGAACCGCGTGAGGGTCCGGAGGATACCAACCTGTTTGCTGCGCGTCATGTTGCAGCCTGCCGTCCGGATTCATCTGGACATCAGTCATCCTCGACGATCTAGGCGGTGGTCGTTAGAGCGTCTAACACTTGTCGGAGGGATTTGTTTTCTATTTTTTTTTGCCGCACTTCGTCGCGTCTAAGCCCGTGTCAAGCACGTCGCGCGCGCGCGCGTTGTGCTGACGACGTAACCCGTCCGATGTACACGCGTACGTGATAAAGAAATATGCGAAGAACGAGTTGTGCGACAATGATGTATCCGCAATACGGGAGACTCGAAACGCACGCGGCGCTTACGACGCGTTTGAACTGACTGGTTCGACCGCCACCGCCACCGGCTTGCCGGGACCGTACGGAGGCCCCACGCCTGCCTCTGTCCCTGTAAGCGAAGTCTGCCGAGCGCGTACGAACCAACGCGTCGTATCCGTCCACCCACGATAAACACACTCCGTATCATCAGGTAGGTGACGAAGATGACGAGAGAGATCGTGCGCGATTGAAATTTGCGCTTGGTGGCAGCGCGCGCGATTTATCGATCGAACGGCTCTCCCGTTCGTTGGAGATGCTGAGGAGAGATGTGTGCGCCACGATAGGCTGGATCAGCGACTTTTTTTATTTTATGATATTTAGCCGGCATGGACTGTCTTTGAACTCAACTTTGTATAAGCTGTGAATTATATTATATAAAATGTAAACGATATATAAAATTTATTATTTTTCTATTATTTCAGACTTTAAATACAAATTTTATCCAAATTATAAAACTCATAGTTATGCATAGAAATCATTTTTATTAATTTTAATTTTATCTTTTAGAGCTTAAGAAGATATTTTCGAAATAATTAAATTATGTCTAGCAATATAATTTATGAGTTTTTTGAAAATAATTTTGATAAAAAGATTTTCTGTATAATCAATATTCGAGAGTAATATCGTATATGAAAAATCTAGAAAAAAGTGATTATATTATTACATAACGTGATTTGTCCAATAAAGGAAAGACGTGATTCAATGTCTTATATTGCAGTTCTTAAATAGATTTCAACAGTGACATACTTTATTGTCTATCATGTTTCTCACGCGATTGCTTAAGTAGAGCAAGAAAATGTCAGACCAAAATAGTTATACATAATAGCAATACTACTAAAGATCTCTTTATGTTAATCTGAGGATCTTTTATATTTTCAATCTTGCAATAAATATCTTAGATCTTACAATACGTGTATAAATTGTTAATTAAAATTTATAAATATTATATTAAAAAAGAGAATATATTATGTACAATATTTCAAAAAATATTGTATATTATAGATAGGATATTTTTTTTCTAAATAATAATACACAATGGGCGGCTTTTAATCCTCTTTGACAGTTTGAGAGGAAAGATTTATTACAGTAACAGTAAGAAGTAAATTAACATTGACCGTTTTATTCGACTTTGTACATAATGTTGTTATATTAAGACATTTTGCCTTTTATGAGTTTAAGTAAATGTTTGTATCGCAACAATGTGTGAAATCGAATCGAATAAAACGATGCTGCGTTCGAGATAAAATGTTGTTTTTTTAGGCTGGATCAGCGACTTTTTTTATTTTATGATATTTAGCCGGCATGGACTGTCTTTGAACTCAACTTTGTATAAGCTGTGAATTATATTATATAAAATGTAAACGATATATAAAATTTATTATTTTTCTATTATTTCAGACTTTAAATACAAATTTTATCCAAATTATAAAACTCATAGTTATGCATAGAAATCATTTTTATTAATTTTAATTTTATCTTTTAGAGCTTAAGAAGATATTTTCGAAATAATTAAATTATGTCTAGCAATATATAATTTATGAGTTTTTTGAAAATAATTTTGATAAAAAGATTTTCTGTATAATCAATATTCGAGAGTAATATCGTATATGAAAAATCTAGAAAAAAGTGATTATATTATTACATAACGTGATTTGTCCAATAAAGGAAAGACGTGATTCAATGTCTTATATTGCAGTTCTTAAATAGATTTCAACAGTGACATACTTTATTGTCTATCATGTTTCTCACGCGATTGCTTAAGTAGAGCAAGAAAATGTCAGACCAAAATAGTTATACATAATAGCAATACTACTAAAGATCTCTTTATGTTAATCTGAGGATCTTTTATATTTTCAATCTTGCAATAAATATCTTAGATCTTACAATACGTGTATAAATTGTTAATTAAAATTTATAAATATTATATTAAAAAAGAGAATATATTATGTACAATATTTCAAAAAATATTGTATATTATAGATAGGATATTTTTTTTCTAAATAATAATACACAATGGGCGGCTTTTAATCCTCTTTGACAGTTTGAGAGGAAAGATTTATTACAGTAACAGTAAGAAGTAAATTAACATTGACCGTTTTATTCGACTTTGTACATAATGTTGTTATATTAAGACATTTTGCCTTTTATGAGTTTAAGTAAATGTTTGTATCGCAACAATGTGTGAAATCGAATCGAATAAAACGATGCTGCGTTCGAGATAAAATGTTGTTTTTTTTTTGTACTCGATATGTTTGCGTGGATTTTCCTTCTTTGCTGCTTCCCTTTCCCTTAAAATGCTTGTCTCGACAATGCTGATTCCAGGATCATTGTTGTTTACGTGTAAGTTGTCAAATTGTGGGTTTTTGCGTGATCGCGTGATGTATATGATCAAATAGGGGGATGAATGCAACGGTGTGACGAATGCAACGAGCGAATATTATGGCGAGTGTGTCCTTCGTTTATGTGAATAAATGTTGACGGTGGTCATTCTACTACTCATCGTTACCAGCGGCTGCCCTCTCACATAGTCTACGAAGGAACTCTGCGAACAAAGTAGAATTGTTAAAGCATATCTTTGAACAGACAAAATGGCAAATGTATCGACACGTGATTAAGCATATTTTTCATAGAGACGATAAACGTACATATATTTAAAAGTAAACATTGAAAATTAGTCTGCGTAAAACCGCAAATGCGTATAATATTTAGTTGGCAGTCAATGCTTACGAGTTTGTACTGCCATGTTTGTTCTTTTCAATAGCAAAAGCGATAGATATAGAAGCGATAGACATATAGATAATAATAAGCATTAATAATTTGCATACAAAATTGAGCAAAAAAATTCAAAGGTTAAACATTATTTTTATAGTGTAAAAATATATGTATATAAAAACAATTATATAATTTATGTATAGAATGCGTTCTTAATTAAATATATAATTTATATAAATAATTAAATTTTTTAATACAACTGAAAATAACAAAATTCAAATGAATAAAAACTTAAAAATCATGTTTAAAAATTCAATATAAAAGATATCATAAAAAATTTTGTTTAACGTATATTATAATTTGTTTTTATGGGCATAACTTGAGTCATTTTATTCTATGTAATTTTTGCTTCAATGATCTCGTCAGGTGATCGACCCCGTGCGCGAGCAAGTCTTTCGCGAAAAGCGGGTTATCGATTTCAGCATCCCTGTTGTGAGCTGCAACGTTGCGTCCTATAAATTCTGGAATATGTTCAACGAGAAAAGGTGAACGAAACGATGTTAATAAATATGGACAGAGAGACAAAAAGACACAGAGACAAAAAGACAGAGAGACAAAAAGACAGAGAGAGAAATAGACGAACAAGAAGCGAATAAGTAACTGATAAGCATGGACTTCTACAGGATGTACTCACGATGGATAATTTTTGTCTCGATAACACCTTGACCGTTTACAATGGCACCATCATCTTCTTCAAGAAGGCTGTGAAACACAAAAATGTGGAAGAGTCAAATGATAGGGAGGGAACAAGTCGAATCTCCGGGGGATTTCTTCACGATGCTAGAAGTTATGAGGGGGAGTCATATCACGAATCGGAGGGTTTTTAAACTGTATCTTTTATTTACATGGGGGGTTTCTAATTCTAATAACGAACTGGACTTAGGGATCTTACAAAATAGATAGGGGTTTCAATGTTTTTTCATCAAACTAACGTGCTCTATATCTCAACGTAACTCACGGATGCAGATGATTTAACACTCTCCTTTGTCTTGGGGGACATATTTTCGGTTCGTAACAATCTGTGATACTTACGGGCATAAGGGATGAAACCGTCATCGTCCTCTGGGTCCATGCAATCCTTTAGTACAGTTTCGCATTCTGCGTCGTTGAGACGCTCACCTACAATATGCGATTATTTAGATTAAATTACCTTTTAATTTTTTTATTTTTAACTTATAATAAAACTAAGCACAGAGAGAGACTATTTTATCTTAATATATGTGTATATGTTTATCATTTGACTAGATTATTTATTTTAAAAAAACCTTTATTATACAGAATATTGTGTATTTTATATGTATAAAAGTAAAATATACTTGTCATAATATAACGCAAATTATAATTGTGATCTCTCTCTCTTTTCTCTCATATTTTAAATAATTGTCTTTGAAAGAGTGGATCTCTCACATACCAAGTGACAAAAGTGTGTGAGACAGTTCTGCGCCCAGCATCATTCCGTTTTCCTGTTTGTCGTACAGCTTCAAACATTCAAGGAAGTCCTCGTAGCAACCCTGTTCCTTGTCTTTTTTGCACTGGCTAAAGATGGGCAGGAATTCGTCGAGTTTCAATTTTTTCTCGCCCTTCTTCTTCGTGCCGCCCAGTTTCTCGATGGTTGCGTTTGTGGGGTTCAAGTTCAACGCGCGAAGGACGTTGCCAAGGTCAACCGCGTCGATGACGTTGGTGCCATCATCATCGTAAATAGAGAAGGCGAATTCTGCCCCTTTTCGACAAAGAGATTAATATTTTTTACATATTCTTTAAATACAGCAATGAAAAATCTTCAGGAACGTGTTCGTTGATAAGCAGACGTTAACGACAAGATTATTCCGTGATTAAGCATCTGCGTGATATTCCTTGCTACAATTAGTATTTGGTCCATTCTTTAAATATGCAAAACGCGAAATCTGGGTTAATACCAACCGTAGACATAAAGTACACCGCGTGCGTACCTAGTTCAAAAATATTATTCTATTTCGAGAGATAGACGGCAACCCCCACCAATTCGACGATTGAAGAACTCGCTGGTGGAAGCAGTGGGTCAAATTAAAATATACTTGTCATAATATAACGCAAATTATAATTGTGATCTCTCTCTCTTTTCTCTCATATTTTAAATAATTGTCTTTGAAAGAGTGGATCTCTCACATACCAAGTGACAAAAGTGTGTGAGACAGTTCTGCGCCCAGCATCATTCCGTTTTCCTGTTTGTCGTACAGCTTCAAACATTCAAGGAAGTCCTCGTAGCAACCCTGTTCCTTGTCTTTTTTGCACTGGCTAAAGATGGGCAGGAATTCGTCGAGTTTCAATTTTTTCTCGCCCTTCTTCTTCGTGCCGCCCAGTTTCTCGATGGTTGCGTTTGTGGGGTTCAAGTTCAACGCGCGAAGGACGTTGCCAAGGTCAACCGCGTCGATGACGTTGGTGCCATCATCATCGTAAATAGAGAAGGCGAATTCTGCCCCTTTTCGACAAAGAGATTAATATTTTTTACATATTCTTTAAATACAGCAATGAAAAATCTTCAGGAACGTGTTCGTTGATAAGCAGACGTTAACGACAAGATTATTCCGTGATTAAGCATCTGCGTGATATTCCTTGCTACAATTAGTATTTGGTCCATTCTTTAAATATGCAAAACGCGAAATCTGGGTTAATACCAACCGTAGACATAAAGTACACCGCGTGCGTACCTAGTTCAAAAATATTATTCTATTTCGAGAGATAGACGGCAACCCCCACCAATTCGACGATTGAAGAACTCGCTGGTGGAAGCAGTGGGTCAAATTACCCCCGCCGAACCATATAAGAACAGCCTACCAACCTATTTTTGACGCGCTACGGAACGGTTGCGTCCTCCTACCCGATGAGCCGTTATGTAATGCCAAAAATGACATGCGAGTTAGAAATAGAATACGAAGAAAACTCTCGTATTATAATTAATTTAATCAATTAGAGTACTTGCTAGTTGATGCATCAAAGAAATGAATGTAAAAAATAATTTTTAATGCAAAAAAAAATTAAATCCTCAACTTCCATTGTAGAGTAGAAGCTAGATAGCATGATTCTTTCGTATATAAATTGATAATTATAATTTCTTGTAAAATATTAAAACTTTTTAGTGCTAAAAAACACAAAAGAGATAACTTTGAAAATTGCCAATACTATTTTTTAGCTCCTAAATATCTTATTAAATAATTTAAATCAAATTTAATAATAATATTCACTGAAAATTTTTGTCCATAAACCGCTCT